ACGCGAAATGACTTCAAAAGGGTTTCAATATTGACTTGCTTTCTTAGATGACAAGAGAATGCTTTTTAGAGATTTTCAAGACTTCCTTTTTACAATTGAAGAACGCGAGCTTTAATTATAGAGAATGAGTTAGTCTATTGATTTTTACTTGAAGATGTTTAAACTGAAACGGAAAAGTAACAATTTCTATGTAAAAATTCGACATACAACCCAGATATTACGATAGAATTGGAAACCTATTTATAATCACACCACTTATTAACTTGTCTGTGTCTAAATTAATGTCTCCATATTATGTAGATACATACATACATATATAGTATAACTAAAAAGTTAAATAAATAGAAGAGTAAGATAGGATTAGATATAGTTTGAATCAAGGTGGAAGGAAATTAATAATGAAATAGTCTCAAAGTCTCGAAATAGTGTTCGAAGGATATGAAACAAGAGAGAACGCTACAGTCGAGCAAGCCCGACAGTGTAATACCCTGTACCCAGGTAAACTTCCGTCACTGAGTTATATGCGCCCATAGCAGCAGCAAAAAGAGGAAGAAGAAGAGCGAACTTGTTGCTGCAGTTTGGGGGGGTTGTACTGGTGAGAATTTGTTTTGCTAATAACTTTTCTTAGAATTGACCGAATTAAATAAAATTTTGAACAAAAGTAGACAATTATATATATATTATGTGTGCAAAGTTTGGTTTAGGTAGCTTTTGAAATGTGGACGCTATTGACGAAATTCTGTAGCGGGGGAAGGGGGGGAAAATTAAAAAAAAAAAAATAAACTCGTCCTTACTCGGACCTAGGAGAATCTGGATGCCAACTTTGGTTATTCTAGCTTTTATAGTTTCCGAGATCCTTGCGTTCATCCAGACGGACGGACAGACGGACAGACGGACGGACAGACGGACAGACGGACGGACATGTCTAGATCGATTTCTCTCGTCAAGCTGATCAAGAATATATATACTTTATGGGGTCGGAGATGCTTCCTTCTGTATGTTACATACTTTGCACAAACCTAATATACCCTTTTTACCCTACGGGTACAGGGTATAAAAAGATTATAATTAGTACACAACACAATTAAGGATTCATGTAAGACAAAGTTACATCTACAAATTGTCAATAGAAGGGTAGGAAATGTACGAGTAAATCTCAAGGGAACTGCCAAATCTACGAGGCCAAGAAGGAAAGGGGAGTCTTAAGTACCCAAAAGTGGGCATGAATGTGTTCTTTTTAATCAGCGTAATGTCTTGGACTCTAAAATCACTTAAGAATTGTGGCAATAAATTAAACTTGGACTTAATATTGTGAAACGAATGTTCAATTGACACAGAAAATGTAGTGATAACTTTTCAATTTTCTTTATTAGCATTAATATTTAATCCTCCAGGGAGACAAATATTCAAATGAAGCTTTAGTTCATACAAGTACCATATATCTCGTATGTACTATCAATTACATCAAATATTAACATAATAATCTTTTTGAGTGCTCTCACATAGTTCTTGTATCGAATGTAATATGATATTTATTTGGTTTTTGCAACAAATATGCCAGAGTGTGTTGCTCTTTTTGAAGGACTTGCTTTGGCGTCCCAGTGACTTCAATTGCTGCGAAAAGTGTCAATTACAGCAGATGTCAAAAACAATCAACGGCATAAATAAGTTATGACACACTTTGTGGAAAATGGCACCCACAAACACACACTCAAGGAAGTCTCCTAAATGTGGCAATCAATAAGTTTTGACCGCCCTCTTCGCGCCCCATTCGACGCTCAAAGAACGCTCATGCAACAAAAAGCCATTGCGTGCACTTAATTAGCGACAATGCGCCAAGTGTACGAGGTACGAGGTAGGTACACACTCGTTTATACATATAAACATATCCCAGCACCACATCAACTATTCATTATATTGTGCGCGTCGCGGGTCAAAACTGTTAACATTTGAACTGCCCCGGGTCTCTGGTGCTGTTGCTGTTGCTGCCAATGATGATGATGATGATGATGATGATGATGTTTTGGTCAAGGGGCAAGGTGTGAACGCTTGGCTTCCTTTAGCTTCAAATGGGAAATTATGAAAAATTGTATAAAATGAAGTGAACGGACTGTGCGTGAGTGTGTGGGTGTGTGCGTGTTCGAATGCGATCAATATTAATTATAGTAATCAATTTTAATTAGAGCATGATGGCTTCATAAAGACTGCGCACAAGGAAACAGAAACGGTAGAACCCTCAAGCCCCTCAATGCCCAGCCAAAAAATCGCTTTGTGAAGCGGCCAATTGAGTGCTGCAATTGACACTGTCAAAGCCCCCCTTCCAGCACCATTCTCCCTCAAGCACACTCTTGTTAGCTAGACCAACAAAGACATAATCCCGCAGCATGAGCACCGGCATCACATTAGACCTGTCTCATGCACAGCACACGACATGCCGAGCGATTGCAGCCGGATTTTGCTTATGTCAAAATCCTGGAACAATGGCAAGTGGCTTGCCCAAAATTGAGTCTGACAGCGGCCGGCGGTACTTGTGCTTACCCATATATTCAACTACCGCTCCCCGCATTTCATGTGCCCGGATCCGTGCATATTGCAGGCCGCCTCTCTAAATTGACAGTCAGCCGATAACTCAGGCACAAGGCAGGCCATCAAAATTCCATTATTTGGATTAGACCACAATTGTTGCGGGCGGTACTCGTGCTTCCACTTACAGGTGCCTATGCAGCATAGTATGGCTATAGACCTGACACTTCTGTGGACTGGCATCCAAAACAACAGACAAAATGCAGAAGAGGTTATATACACGATGGCAGCAGAACTGCACTCTCAAATCTGTCAATTAATTAATTACGTTTATGGCGTATAAAGAGGACTCTTCCGGTTCTTGTGTGTCTCTTATGAACTCTAAATTTTTTAAAAACTAAAAACTCCGATCTCCTGCTTTATTAATTAATTACTTGTGTGGAAGAATAGGACTTCCACTTACAGATGCCTATGCAGCTTAGTATGGCTATAGACCTGACACTTCTGTGGGCTGGCATCCAAAACAATACAACAGACAAAATGCAGAAGAGGTTATATACACGAAACTCTAAATTTAAAAAAAAAAACTTAGTCTCCAATCTTCTGCTTTATTAAATAATTACTTGTATGGAAAAATAGGATTTCTTGCATTACTTGCATTTGTATTTTAAAGACAGTTCGAAAATATTTACTCCATAGTAATTGGCCGGGAATTACTCATAAACCGTCCCATCTATTTTTAATCAGAATTACATTTCGTCATCCATGGCCAGCTTTCACAATCGACGAGTGTTGCAACACCATTGCAAAAATATTCTCAATATTCAAATTTATTTCAAAATCTTTATCAACAACAAGTTTTTCATCCAAAAAAGTCTTTTCAACAATCTCGACATATTTTTTATTTATTTTTTTTTTTTTTTATAAACCTTATCTTAGCGTTACAAGAGAGTATTATATTACTTTTAAATTATTGCATATTACATCATGATTTGAAATCATGTTGTCATATATGTACCTTAGTATAAGGTGCTGCCTACAATTCTTTTTTCTGTTTGCTACATACTTAGGCACAAAAGACCATGCGCCTTGACACTTTTCAGCTTATACAGCTCTCTGTGTCTATATGAGTCTTAATTGTACAATTTTATGAATCTGAAAAATTTGTAAAGAGTTTGCAGCGAGTTACAGCTTTTTCCAAGTGTGTGGCTGCATAAGAAATTCCCGTTTCTTTTTCATCCCCAAAGCTCAACCAGAAGCTACAAAGGAGCATCTCGAGCCTGTTGCACAAAGGGAATGACTTCTGTGAAGACTAGCGCCAGTGGTGTCCAGCGTCGAATTCAAGGAATGCAGCCTGCAAATCCACTTGCATGTTCACATATATTTTAATTATTAACTGATACTGATTGTGTTAACGATTACATTTGTTTCAAGTTAGCTTTAATCCCATTGCAGAGTTCTTCAAGAAGTTCCATTCTATAACCATAACAACAGTCATTTTCCAGTGGCAGAAACAGAAAAGAAAAGAAAAGAAAAGCAAGAGGCAGCTGCAACTGCTATTAACAGCAAATGACTGGCCTAATTTATGCGCCCCCCACCTGAAGCCCCTGTAAACATCTTCATAGCGCAGACAACGCATGCCGCAAAGCCGTAACTTCTGCTCCAAAAGACAAACTACATAAGAGTACAGTTGTATGGCAAAAATTGATGAAACGATGGGACGTTAGCCGCGTTAGTACGATGGGGAGAACGCCCAAATACATAGAAGCACGAAATTGCTTTACACAATCGAAACGAACGAAATGACAATATAAATCGAGGGGCGGAACTAATTTCGCAAAGACTAGAAATAGGCTGGCCGCAAATGATGACTCTGATGATGATGATGGTGATGGGGATGGGGATGATGGGGGGCGATGGGAGCAATAGTCAACAGCAGGGTGCTGCTGGAGGGGCTGCCACAGAATTGGCCAAAATTAAGAGCCACAGAAAAGTTTTGCGCTTGCGGAAATTGTGTAACTATACATTAATGAAGAAAAATTATCGGGGGAAGGAGGGGGGACATACAGAACTACACCCCAAAACTGTTTTAGTGGTGGGTAATTCCGCTGCGACACTCCAGCCATAAAACGCACTGATTTATGCCCATTGAGGTACATCAAGTCATTCATTGTCTGGTAAGTTCTGCGACGGAGGAGGGGCCCTACAGGTAAACTGTAGCATAATGAAGCGTATGATTATAAAAGTGCTGCCAAACGTAGCGTGGTAGTTTTATGGCCAAAAAGGGGATCGACTTGCCATTACAACAGCACCTCTCCCCTTCTCTGCAGGCGGCAGTCACAAAATTTCTTTCTTACATTATCTGCCAAAGGCTGCCAAACATTTAAATTGGTCTTGAAATATAAAGGTAAAGAGTTTAAGGAGAATATTCTACAGACCAATAATAAAATCCCTTAAGCAAAGCACAGATCTGTAAATTATATTTCTGCTATATAGCTTTTTACAAGAAACATATTATTTTCAATTTGATTTTTTTAAACATTATTTTCCATAGCAGTCCACCAGTTTGCGAAAAAAGTTTTCTGATTAAGTATTCCAGCAGCTCGCCACGGCTTTGAGTGTATGAATTCCCACTACATTTTTGTATTTTTATTGATATTCAATTACAGCTTCAACTGCAAATGTGTACAGTTGCATTTTATAATGGCTCTTACAAATTGTATGCGCACGCAAAAGCGCAAGCCCTATTGAAAAAGTACCAGTGAGGTAAAGCAAACATATAAATAGTATTATTTTCATTCGGAATTACGCCCACAATTTTTTCAATTATTTCAAATAAGTAACTTGATGAATTTAAAAGCATATTTTGTTTCATAAATATTTAACAACTATTCTCTCTCTTCTCTGTTATAAAAGCTACATTTCTGAGCTACCTCCGGAAGACTACTCTCCACTTATACACAACTACGAGCAGGGACATCATTTGCTGAGCTGGCTCATAAATCTCCCTCCATTCGTTAGTAAATTAACTAACAATTCAATAAAATTTGGTATCCATGCTCTTTGCAAAAATCTCTGACATACACTTTGCTTTAATCGAGGCAATGCTGGCTGAATGTTTATTTTCAACATGAGTATTTGATTATGTTTTTCAACACCCCCTACTCTCGACTTATTAAACAAATAAACACTAAAGCAATCAGAGGCTTATGTGCTTGGTACTCCCGAGTAGTACAAGAAAACTTAAACGATAAAATATGAAACACGCTAAAGAATGCGAATCACAAGCAAACAAAAATAATCATTATACTTGTATAAAAAAAACCCTAACAATTAGACGCAAACAAAAACCCAAATGTTGATCCCTTAAAATTCCACCATATGGCTGCTTTTTGAAGCCACAACAAATGTTTCGATCTTCAATGTTAGACAAAAACTGGTCCTTAGTATTGCCGATTGTTGGAGGTTTGTTTAAAGAATAGTATAGTAGTCCGTAAGCATTCTGCCGTTTATTAAAATCATTTCGTTTAAAAAGTGCGTTTGTCGAGTGATTTGCCTTCAGTGAGACAAGTTATTAGTTTTAACAAGAGCTGTCCTACGGTTTCGTTCGTCTCCAGTTCCTTGCACATCCTGCCTCAGCACAGGGGCTTTTGAACAATGATTGAGTTTATTATTTGTCTCTGATCTTCAATGATGACTATCATTAATTAAACAAGAATTTACTTTAATGTATTTCATAGAGAAAGCAATCTCATATTTTTTTTAGCAGTGTGGCACAGCTTTCAAATCATTTCATCATTTATAATGGTTTTAACTTTGCCTATGCCTCTGTAAGAATTTTGCATTGCGCATTTGTAGATTTTATTGCCGTCATTAAATTGCGCAACCAGTTACAGTGACATCTTCTATTTATGGCCGACTGGAACTTTTGCAAAAGCTTGCCCAAGCTAAACGATTCGCCAACTATAATCGTTAATCATCCCCAGTCTAATTAATTGTACCTCAACTTTTTGTTTTTCCGCGCTACTCATTAATATTGTCACAGATGTCGCAAGTAACTCGGCAATGATGATTAATACATTCGAGTTTCTGAAATTGCAAATGGAAACTAGTAGCTAAGGAGACTTTTACCTTAAAGACCAGATGGGAAACTGTGCGGGCATTTAATCCACAGTTGACTTTGCAGTCCGGGAGCTGGCATTTCAATTTATGAAATTAGTTTTAATAACATGAATATCACTTGAAACAACAACAGCTACAATAAGCTAGCATTTTCATAAGCCGGCTTTTCCATAGTTGAACGCGTGGGGGGAATTTACACAAAGGCGCCAAGGCAACCAGAACATCAACAATCGCAGCTTGGGCCCATTGTTTGCACGGCAGCTTGTGTGTGGCACGCACTGTTGCCACTGGTAACCGACTGGGGCAAGCAGCGTCAGCTTCCAGCTAAGATTTGCCTGCACATTCCTGACTCTAGCCCCCCCACCCCACTCAAAGTTTTAAAACTTGCCGCGGCCTTTGTTTAAATTTGCGCACCGGAAATTTGCTTATCGGCACATTTCAGCAGCGTGGGTGCGAAAGCGGGGGGAGGGGGAAGGGGGGCGACTGCGGCTACGGCTGCTGCGGTAACGACAAGTCAATAGAGAGATTAGCGATAGACCCAAAGCTCTACTAATTGAGCTCTAGGTCATGGCTTAAGTCAATAGCCAGCTACTTATTAAATAATGAAACGAAATTTAATTTAAAATGTTGCGAAAAGCCAATAAGTACTATAAGAATGAAATATCCGATTGCCAGAGCAACCCTCTAATAAATTCATTTTTTCTTCTATTTCTACAACTTAAACGCGTTCTACAGGAGTGTAGTATAGAGCGATTGGACTCGATGGGTGACTACAAGTAGTGTGGTCTCAATTTCTAAACACTCTTTGATATAACTAACAGGTTTTTAAGTTTTTATTACATTTCAGTTGTTGTTGGTTCAAAGAATTCTATGGCATTCATACCACTAAAGCTACCGTACAGCTCTCGAAGATATTGATTCCTCTGTTTTTTAAGATCGTATGCATTATTTCGCACCAAAACAAGAAACTTATTGCCGCAGCTTCTCAGCAGATGCACACGTTTTCTATTCTCAAGCGAACTTTCCCTTTCCTCACTGAAAGCATGTAATTTTAGCTACCTCCACTGATTCTCTTATCGCGCCAGACTATAAAGCGTGGTATTACATTGAGGACTGATTAAATCAATACTCTACATAGTTCACTGTTACGTTGAACAACATCATCAATATTTTATACATATCGGCTCTATCAGGCACTAGATGATAGATATAGAAGACTATGATCGTCGGCGCGCAAATAACATAAAAAATATCATACCAATATCATGTCGGCTCTATCAAAAGTAGGACTCCCAGGAACCAGAATACAGTTTTGAAAAACTACGAGAGTGCAGATAGATATAGAAGACTACGATCTTGAATGATCTACTTACTCCTAAAGTTCTGAAGTAATTCAGTAATTATCAACGTACCAACAACAACCAAAAATATATCATACCATATCATGTCGGCTCCAACATTTCTTTATCTCCTTCTCCATTAAAAATTAATAAATATTATTTGATCATCTTTATTTTAATACTTGACAATAGTGTTATTAGCTGAACTTATAGGATGCCTAGGCCCAAGCCAAGATTGCCACCCCCTCCACCAGAATTGCGTTTTATGAAACTTGCCGAACCACCGCCAAGTAAACCTCCGCCACCTCCACCACCACCACGACCACCCAGCCCTAATTTCTGACCCACCCCTCCTAGTGACTGGCCCGCCCCTCCCAGTGATTCACCCACCCCTCCTAGTGACTGACCCACTCCGCCTAATGTCTGACCCACACCACCAAGCAGGCCGCCTAGAGCCGTGCATGTTGTGGAGGTTAGAGGCGAGAGTGAAGCACCCAGCACGGACAGCTCGCAGAAGCGAAAATCATTGGCCGTCTCCAGCTTACTGTGCACCTTAATGAAAGGTGTGCCTTTGCCCGTTATGCTCTGGAACAATCCGCTGCTGCCGCCCTGATCCTTCTGCGGCTTCTTAGCAAACTGCACCAGCATATCAATGAGATTTTTGCGCACCTGAAGGTCTGCCTCTGCGGTTAGGCGTGTTTCCAGCAGCGGCTCTCCAAAGATATCATTAGCATCGAACATGTAGCCCAGTTCATCACCGTGTGCCACGATATCTGGATTGGGCTGCGAATTACTCGAGACAATGGGAAGGCCGCGTAAAAAGTTGATGCCCTTGGATTTTGTGCCATTATATTCGAAGCTATACATATAGGCAGGAGCTAGCTGCGACCATACTTGGGTCGTTAGTACGGCTGGCAAATTGAAGAGCACGTCAGTGGTGGACTCCACAACCTTAGAGAGAACTTGATCAATGTTAAGTGCCTCCGGTACTTTCCATAAATCCGTAAGTGTGGGCGTAAGTGCGCTCGTAAGTCCCGGCAACACAGGCTTGGCTATATCCCCAGTTACACTATCGATACGCAAAAAACCCGTGAGCTGATCAAGAGCACCACGTAGCGAACCCAGAAATTGTTCCGCCGAACCGAAAACCTTATTAATAGTGTCAACAGTGACTGAATTGGCAGTCTCATGTTTCGTCACACCCGTGAGCAAGGGAACGGGTGTGAAATTTCCACTGCGTAACTGCTGTTCCGGCTCGCCTATGAGGAGACCCGGCAAGGCACGACCATCGTCTTCGCTTTCCGTATGCGGCTGGAAGCCGACACTTCCGGTGAGACCTTTGACCAAAGCACGACCCGCCAATCGCTCCGTTTGCACTTTATCGTCGTTTTTGATAATATCTTCGGCGGATTTCTAGAATTAAACAAGGTGGGAGTATTCAATATAAACATGTTCTCCCATAGATTATATCTAGATGTATAGTATGTGAAACCCTCTGTATTCCATCCCACTTCATTCATAAAGTAGATTCTAGACTGACTATTTCCAATAATTTTTTGGACCACTTAACGACTCACTCACCTGACGCAAACACTTTACGATTTCCAACTCATTGCCCGTGGGACAGCCATTGATTTTGGCCACTTCCTCCACACTTTGCACCGGCTCCTTGTCGGTTGCATATTGCGATAAGGCTGTGCCAGACATGGCCACCACTCCAGATACTTCGCCAGCACTACGCGCTCCCTTCGACATGGACAAGTACATAGCGGAGGCTGCACCTGACCCATGACCTATGGCCTGCACCTGCTTGGGATCACCACCAAAGTTCGAGATATATTCGGTAACCCAACGAAGAGCCGTTGCCAGATCGAACATGGCCAGATTGCCATCGAACTCCTTGGTGCCGTCACCCATGATGCCCAGCGAGCCTAGGCGGTATTGTGGTGCAACCACAATCACGCCCTGTTGCGCCATTGGCGTTGCATCGTATTGAGCCGCCGAGCCGTAACGAAAGCCACCCGGATGTATCCAAACATAGACGGGTAAGCCGGACGTCTCATCCGGCATTTGGGGTGTATAGATATTTAGCAGCAAGCAGTTCTCATCACCCACAATGCGCCCCGGCTGTTGGGGATGCGGTTGAATGCAGGGTGCTCCATGGCGTGTGGCATTGATATCGCCGGCTAGGCGCTTGTAAATAGGTCGTGCATAACGGTTCTCACCCGTTGGCGGCTCCGCATAGTGCAAGCCCAGGAATGTATAAATGCCCGTCTGTGTGTTCCGATAGCCCTCCACGCGTGCATCACGATTGTAGAGATGGGCAAAGACTACGGGATCATCGACAGGTGGTGCCTTCGACTGCTTGCCCCCCACAATACGCTTCACTCGCTTGTGCTCGACTCTGGAGAAATCAGCCAAGGTCACGACTGCCTGGCAAAAAAGTGCCAGCAAAAGGAACGCGTTCCACTTGGGTGCAGTTCGAAGCCCGAACATTTTAATTCAACTGCTCGTTGCGTTGTCAACTTGAAACTGTATTCGATGTTTCGAGGCTGGTGAGTGAAGCGTCAGTCTCACTTTTAATCGCAATGCCGGCAAGTTACTCAGCTTGGTATTCGACTTTGCGTGCGATGCGATAAAAAAAATACAACCGACCGAAAGTTGTTTTTGTCGTTGTTGTTGTTCGTGCTATTGTTGTTTCAGGAGCGCCATTAAGAGCGTAGCTCCGATACGTTTGATATGAGCACTGCAGCTTAACATTTTAATCACGTACTCAAGCACTACACCCGGTTTTGTGTGTAAGCATGTTTATACCAAGACTTACTCACTGTGCTGCCTTGAGCTGAAACGACTTTCAAATGCGCTGCCATTCATTTATTTGATGATGAAAAACCAATTGGCATATGTTTGGGACATTTCTAAGCAAATACATTGGGAATGTACAATTGTTAATAATGATCTTGAGCTGTTTAATTGAATTCTGAGCGACATAATGCTCCAATTATTGCTAAAAATCACCCCAAACTCCCTCTGTTATTTTCAAATATGTCTTGAAGCACGGAGTATTTTTATTATCAATTATATTCTACATTAACGCCAAAAGTCTTTTTTTTTCTCAACCCCATATGCGTTAGTTTGCATCTTAAAGCTCTTCAATTTTTACTTGTATAATTCATTCAATATTAAACTAAATTGTTTAATAGCTTAATATATAAGAGTAGCTTAGTATAGAATAATAATAATAATAATGACTTTTTTATTAAGTTAACTCACGGATTTCAAATAGCGTCACAGGTTCCTACAAGTATTTAGCTCCATTCTTACAATACAAATTTGAAGAGGATTTTATCATTAGGTAACGACCACCTATTACTTAATAAAATTAATTAAATAGTGCAAAATTATAATTGAAAAAATTAATTAAATATTTTTATTATACACGTGAAAATTAACAATTTCTTATTTAGATTTTTTTTATATTTTTATTCATATTTTTCTTTGTTTGATTAGAATTTAATGATATACCTAAATTAATTGCTGTATATGACTTATTTATCTATTCGCTTTAATTTTATTTCATTAAGAAAAATACAAAATCAATTAGTCTTACTTTAAATATTACTAAATACTATGCAAATAAGTTTCAATATAATAAGAGCGTGTATTATACGAATTGAATACTACTTCGTTGAATCTATACATATTTCTAAACTACGGTACACCAACTTATATACTGTTGGGAGTAAAAACAAACGTTTTATTAAACAATTTTTATATATTAACAATTTATTCTTAGCTCTTATATTTTATGTGATATGGTATTGCAAACACAGCTCAAGCATTTATTAGACTTGCTTAATTGATTTTACATACAAACTTATTTACTAAATTATAGTTTCCTATAAATAAATATATAAATCATTAAAATTCTCTTCATAGGTTTGCAGATAATTTTATCTTTAAAAAGGCACATACAATATATGTATCCATATAGCATGTACCGCATCGGCTATTCAGCTACAGCTCACCAGTTTTCAGCACTCAGATTTGTGAATGCTGAGAAGTTTCTTCTCACTCATCACTTGCTTTATACTTGTAGTACATATTGCTTGCCAATTTAACAATACGGCTATTTTTATTATTTTGATATTTTTATCTCGTTACACTTCAAAGTCAGTTGCGGGAACTTGCGCTCACATGCAGCCCAAGTTGAAACTGGTCTGATCAGTTGGGTTTTTCTCAGACAGCACCGGCAATTGTTGTTGTGCATATTGAATGAAAACAATAGCATTAAACATTTCGTTGGGTTTTAAAGTGCATGAGCAAAATAATTATTAGCTTTAAGGGCCCAGTAGCTGCTTGCCTGGTCGCTGACCGCTCTCAAAAGCACATCTCAAAGTTTACTGCTGCACAGATAAATAATTTCTTTTATAAATATATATATATAGTACATATTTATATGGTATACGGGTATGTGTGCTTGTACAAGTATGTTTTCACAAAGCTACCGCATTTCTTCAAGCTTAACAAACAAACATACAATGCAAACGGAAGCTGGCAAATATCATAAAACGGACGCATGTTGTGATTTTAAGTTTCTTGCCAGTTTCCCACAAGAACACACACGTAAAGCCTTGAGTGCACACTCACGCACACGCCATTCCCCTCCCACCATCCTGCCACTCCACCCCCCTGGTGCAGCAACCAGGGTGCAAGTCAAAGATGAAACAGCAGCCTGGCAAATGGCTGGGATTAGGCAGGCAGACGGCACGCGCTGCATGACTTTGCCACATGAATCTCAATGTTGTTGTACTCTGATCTAGAGATGGCAGCAAGGCACCATGATGAACAAGCGAAGCCACTCAAACGAACCGAAACTTCATTTTGACACTCAACTTATTTGTGGGGTGTCCAAATTTAGAACTGTCGATTGAAAACAATAGATTAAACACCTTAATATAGCATTCCAAAATAATAGATCCTTTTCGATTTTTTCCAATATTATGAAAAATAAAATGGATAATCATTAACTGAACAAAATCATACATAATCAGCATCACTTTCAGGTAATGTGCTAATTCATGTATGAATTTGACTTTAAATGATTAAACAATTCCACAAAAACGACTCGAATTTTAGCAAAAATGTTAAGCATCATTTAAATCAATTCTAATCATAAGTACTAAAAACCTACGTATAAAACCGGTTGAACTTGAAGAAGTGAAATGAAAAGTGCGTGGTGAATTCTATATTTTATAATTAAGCAAATAATACCTACTCGCCGATTATTTTTAGCAAATATTAAAGATGTCGGAAGTTTATCAGAACTTTATTAGAGTAGTATAAATTTAATTTAGAACGGATTCCAAATTATATTATTTAAAGCAGCATATATTGGAATAAGATTTTAGATAAAGACATAAATTATTGTCCTTTGTATTTCATTTGTATATTTTTCGTAATACGCTTTTAAAACATAACATGCATTATTTATTTTAGTAAAAAAGTTATACAAATTGACAGAAAAATGAATAACAGTAATAGATTTAGAGATTGCTTCTTAGTAGTAGAAACTTAATTTAGAATGAATTCCAAATTAATTATTTAAAGCAGATTGGTACGGATTCAATGATTATGTTTTAAATAGAAAAAAACCAAACACAACTTAATGCTCGAGCTTAAGCACATCCATTGCTTATTATTAATTATATTGAACGATTTGATTTATTAATTCTGAACTTGATATGGCATTAATCGTATTCATATTTGCCTTTCTAGATAATTTATAAAAATGATTTAACAGTTTATAGGGTACTGTAGAGTATAACAGAAGGCGCTTACAAAACGACTATTAATCTTAATTAGGCACCAATTAAAGAAATTTACAATTCAATTGCCTATTAATGAGCAAAACAAACAAACAAAAACAAAATGATAGAGTTCTGCGCGCCCACCTCGCTCTCTATACATCTAGTGGATACAATTAAAATGATTTTCAAATAAATAAACACACGAATTCAACAGACTAGAAGGGGGTTGCATATGGATAGAGAATGATTGCAGATGAAGAATAATTTTTAATTTTGGATGCAGAAGAATATCTGCATTGGAGCCGGACACATTGTCTATGGAAAATAATAGGAATTAAATTCACTCTGTTGAACAAATTTCTGCTTATTTAAAAAAATAACTAATTTATTCTGAGGCTGGAACACTAACCTAAGTAGCAATTCTTGTCATTCATTTTCAGTCAATTTGTATAACTTTTTTACTAAAATAAGTAATGCATGTTATGTTTACAAAGCGGCATTACGAAAAATATACAAATTAAATAAAAAGTACAATAAATGATTTTTTACAAAATTTTATCTCAAATCTTACTCAATTCTTTTCTTCATTCTTTTCTCTCTGGTAGTTGTCGTATTCTTGCTTATATATAACTATTTGAAAATATTGAGTCCCTAAAACTAGAAGAACTAATGAATGAGTCTTCATATTGAGTAACGGCCTTCATCATAAATCTATGCAAATCGTATTCTATATATAAAGAAAGAAATAATTAAGAATGAGACAGGTACACCAACTTAAGAAGCAAACTCTATAGAATAGATCCTGTCATTCATTTTTCTGTTAATTTGTTTAACTATTTTACTAAAATAAATAATGCATATTTATGCCAAATATGTTTATTAACTATTGATACAAAATAATAGAAGCAATAGAATTTTACTGATTAGGCTTAGCATAAGAGGTGAAAGAATCATTCGAATATTTCAACAACGTCGTGTACCTAATTAGTTTTGTCCTGCTTTCTCACGCACCCATCCCTAGTTGCAAGAGATAGAGTCACATATTCTGGCCTCTGGTCGCGTGCCTACACGTACTCCAGCTGATTTGTCGGTGTGTGCGTGTGTGTGTGTGTGTGTGCTTTGCTGCTCATGTGTCGCAGACAATGGCCAAATGACATTTAAAGTTACGACAATATAATTAAGTATACTTCTGGGAGCTGCTGAAGCTGCCATGCCGCACAACCGAAGAATAATTATATGTTGCAACGGCGCTCGTTCAAGAAGCGTGCAACACTTTTGCAGCACGCAAACTTTACCAGCCAGCCAGTCGGGCGGCCATTCGGGGGCATACCACTTGGGCACGCCTCTCCATTTAACGCGATTAATGTTTGTACAGATGTACCTGAACACAGATGCTTTCCTTGCTGCCATACTGCCATGCCTGACCGCCTGGTTGAGGTCCTTAAAAAGTTATTAATCTTGGGAGGACAAGCTATCGAGTAAATATTTTGTCCTTCTAATTGAGTTTTATCTGCCATGGCAATTTGCATAAAAGTTGACAGCAAAAATCAACTACAAAACATGTTCTAGACATGGCCAACACACACACACACACACATACACCTAAATCACTACACAAGCTTCACTGAATGTAATAATTACATGCAAGATTGAATTTTAATTTGATTTCGGCATGGAGGGCTCACATATGCTCCGTTTTATTAATTGCCACGATATGAGCCAGT